TTCAAGTTTCCTTCATCCATTTATTGGCCTGCCACCAAATGAGCCACATTTCAATAACAGAGGTTTATTTCAGACCCATGCATTTGACCAACCTCTAAGCAGAACATTACCTATTCTAATGGAAATATTAAGCTCTTTTGCTTGTTGTTATATTACCCAGGTGTCTGTATGTGTGATTGTATGGATTCACAGTATGTCACATTTACAACTTAGAAAAAACTTGAGTGTACAAATTATAGTCACTAACAAAATGTCAGCTTTCTATTTTGTCAGACTGCACCTGCTGAATGGTTTTGGTTCCATTGTTCTTCACAATATTACACACCAGTTATTTCCACAAAAACTCATTATTTCATATTTCCATTAGAATACATATTAAATATTTTACAGCTTGTTGAATCAACACTATTGAATTGCTTTGTGGCAAATTCTCTTACAAGACAACTGGGAAGGGACTGTGTTTCTACAATCATTAGACTTCTCTTTTGCATATAACATAAAACTGACTTTAAAACCATCTAGTTAGCTCCCTTCTGTTAAAATATTACATTGTATTGATACTGATGGGAAAAGTGGTTGTGGGAATAGGTAAATGAAGTTTATCAGTGTGATTTACTTTGGGTAAATTTCGATATCAGCAAGATGCAGATTTGCACTGATGGTGCTGATAAGGACTATGGCTGTGCCTCCTCTAGCTACATCACAGTTTCTGATGATTAGTGCCCACTGATAGGACAGATGGTTGGACTATCTCCTGCTTCTTTACCTTTAATTTGACTCACACTTTGCCTATTTTCAAATTGACATGTTATTGAACATTAGAACACATGAATAAGCTGGAACCTAACTTTGATCCCCACTGCACCCCCAGATGAGTTCAACCAAGAGGGTCCAGGAGAGATAAGGTTTATCAGCAACTGCATTCTTATTCATTTGAAACAATTTATAATGTAAAGCAATGCTTAACTAATGCAGGAGTCATGATGATTTCATATATAAATTACTTAAATCATAAATTCCAAATTGCACAACATAAATTCCTTTCACTCATTCCTTCATTAACATCACTTAACTAATGATCCATTAAGTGTGGACTATTCACAGAAACTCATACTGAGTCGAACGGTTGTTAATGGAAGCAAAAAACAATCATGATATACTGTAACTTGCATAGATCCATGCAGTGGCTTGTCACGAGTCGTGCACTCATTCATTATGACTTCAGTACCTGATATGCACCGTTTCCATACAGTGTTTTTTATCCATCTTCATTTGCTGTGTGTCTCAAAATGTGTTTGGCTGAGTGAGCGCGGATTGTCGCTGTCCGCGGTGCTGAAACGGTTCCCAGCCCCTCATTTTCTTTATTGTTATTATTATTACTTCAACATCTGACTCTCTCATTTGAAGCATCCATAAGATAAGGTATGAGTTACTGGGTGGACAGGCATGTTTGTGCCATTTGAGCTTTGCAATGGGAATATGTAGGCCGCTTTGCTTCGTTAACTTTTTGTCACCACCTTTATATAGTTCGTGTTATTTCATGTGCAGTACTGCACTGTTGTTCTCGAGCACTTGGTGTCAGTATAATGACAAATAATACATCCACGTGCTTTCGTCATAACCACTAGACCCATCCCCTTTTTCTCAAACCACCACTGACATTACATTTTACGTGCCAGCGGCTTGAAACCCCAGTTTCGTTAGAAAGAATCCAAATGCTCTGTTGGATAATGATTTGTTTATAACTGGATGAGATCAGGGGGTTTTATGTCAGTATACGCGCTTAGCACTTTGGAAGCTGTTTTTGTTTTAATTGTTTCATCTTCACATAATGGAACAAAGAGCACGACAGACCTGGAGAGAGCAGACAAAGTGGATTGTTCACATGATGATTTTGGTTACGTTTTGGAGCAGAGCTGCAGCACAAGTCAGATATGCGATCTCCGAGGAAGTGAGAGAAGGAACTGCTGTTGGAAATATTGCGAAGGATTTAGGTCTTGATAAAATCACACTGAAAGAAAGGGGGTACCGTATTGTCTACGGCTCGACAGAACCTCCTTTTCGACTTAATAATGACGACGGCAACTTGTATGTGAACCGGAAAATTGACAGAGAGGAAGTGTGCGACCGGAACAAGGTTTGTGTAATCGACTTAAAAACTGTGTTAGAAAACCCACTGGAGGTCCACTATGTAGCAGTAGAGATTCTGGATGTGAACGACCACTCACCAAGCTTCCCCGAAAATGAAAAGATGTTAGAGATCTCAGAATCTGCATTGCCAGGAGCAAGATTTCAGTTACAAGCTGCACGTGATGCTGATAGTGGTTCATTATCAGTTCAGCTGTATAAACTCAGTCATAATGAACATTTTCGTTTGGAGGTAAAAGATCGTGGTGAGGACCGTAAAACCCCCAGTTTAGTTCTTCAAAAGCCACTTGATAGAGAATCCGTGATGACCCATGTGTTACTTCTGACAGCCATTGATGGAGGTAAACCTCCACGGTCCGGAAACATGACAATAATTGTTGACGTTTCTGATGTTAATGATAACCCCCCAGTTTTCACCCAGGATTCCTATAATGTAGAACTAAAGGAAAATTCTGCGGTTGGCACGACTGTTATCCAAGTTAATGCAACAGATGTAGATGGAGGTTCAAATGGTGAAGTTGTGTATTCCTTTGGTAATGACGTGGATGCACGAGTACGTACACGTTTTGATTTAAATCCAGTGACAGGGGTCATTACTGTGGCAGGGAATATAGATTTTGAAGAGAGAAGTAGATATGAAATCGATATCCAGGCATCAGATAAGGGTGCAGCTACGCTCACCACAGACAAAACCGTGATTATAAATATTGTTGACCTGAACGACAACGCACCGGAGATTGAAGTAACGTCTTTCTCACACGCGCTCCGGGAAGATTCAAAACCTGGAACCACAGTTGCGTTGATCAGTGTTAAAGATTCAGACTCTGGTCTTAATGGAAAGGTGATGTGTTACATAAGCCAAGGTCTTCCTTTTCTGCTCACTCCATCGCTACAAAATAGCATGTATACTATAGCAACAAAAATGCTTTTGGATCGGGAGCACCAATCGCAATATAATATAACAATTATTGCCAAAGACGCAGGCGAACCACCGTTAACGTCAGAGAAAACAATAAATATAGTTGTGTCAGATGTGAATGACAACAGCCCAGAGTTTTCACAGAAACCATATACTTTTTATATAAGTGAGAATAACAACCCAGGAGCGACTATTTTCTCATTAACAGCCAGTGATCGTGACGAAGACAATAATGCTCATATTTCCTACCAGATTTTAAGAAATAGGGGAGGAGAAAACCCGCTTACGTCCTCATTGAACGTCAACACAGAAAATGGAGACATTGTGGCGCTAAAGAGTTTTGACTTTGAAACAGTGAAAACGTTCCAGTTCCACGTTGTGGCCACAGATTCGGGAACTCCGTCACTGAGCAGCAACGTCACAGTCAACGTGTTCATCCTGGATCAGAACGACAACCCTCCAGTCATCCTGTATCCACTCAGCTCCAATGGGTCTGCTCAAGGTGTGGAGGAGATCCCCCGCAATGTGAACGCAGGACACTTGGTGACTAAAGTCAGAGCCTATGACCCTGATATAGGATATAACGGCTGGTTGCTCTTCTCACTGCAGGAACATACTGACCACAGTCTCTTTGGTTTGGACCGCTACACAGGACAGATCAGGACACTTCGCTCATTCACTGAGACAGACGAGGCTGAGCACAAACTGGTCATACTGGTAAAAGACAATGGCAACGTGTCCCTCTCAGCAACAGCTACTGTGGTTGTCAAGCTTGTGGAGCCCAAAGAGGCTTTTGCAGCTTCTGATGTTAAAAGTGCAGCAAAAAAAGATGATGAGGACACTAATGTGACTTTTTACCTGATGATAACTTTGGGCTCAGTGTCTGTACTTTTCCTCATCAGTATCATCGTGCTGATCGCGATGCAGTGCTCCAAATCCACAGACTATACTTCTAAATATCTACAAGAGGCTAATTATGACGGGACACTGTGTCACAGCATCCAGTACAGATCTGGAGACAAACGGTACATGTTAGTTGGACCCAGGATGAGTACAGGATCTACTATAGTCCCAGGCAGCCACGCGAACACACTAGTGCTCCCTGACAGGAGGAGGATATCTGAGGAGGTAGGACTTAAAAACGTTTTATGAAATATCTTTTCTAGCATATAGCTTATTAAAAATTTTGCTTAAATGTTTTTGTTTACGATATATATAAGCTGTGTTTTGTGTAGGGTGTTGCTTTCTTTTAGATAGGCTTGCTTGTGTTTGCTCTGTTGCGCTTGTTTATTCATTAATAGATGTAAAATTTCGAGTCAATGCAAAAGTCTGGACGTGGCCACATAATCACTCTGTGGTTCCTGCAATATTGTCATGGTTTGACACAAGATGAATAAGTTTGTTAAACATAAAAATAAAATAGCTAATTGTTTGTAAAGAAATAATTTCTAGCATCAAATTGTAACAACTCTACATAGTGCTGAAATGAAAACTTTGGTCACACTTCACAATAAGGGTACAAATCATATACTTGTGTAAAGTTTAACTCATGCATGAATCATGCTGATTTTGTG